CTGACAGCTGGCACTCCCTCCCTGTCCATGCCCCCCCACACACACACCTCACAGCAAGGTCTGTGCACATCCTGTCTTGGTATGGCACCGTCATGCAGTAGGTGCTGAATATATAAATTTGAAATTTAATTTTCTGGAGCAAACTTTGCTGTTTTATGAGTTCACTGACTATATTCCACGTTTTGTGGAATTCTACACCTATTTAGAAAGAGAAGTTCATCTTGATTTGAATCTTTAGGAAAGGCAGGGACCAGAGCCAACACTAGACCAGACATCAGGGACACCTGGGCACTAACACAAACCTTGTACTTTCCTACAAGAGGACTTTGGGGTTGGGGTGGGAGGAAGTAGGTGCTGGGAGGAGGCTGGGTGTGGCCCCTGACAACCAGGGCCTGAGTCCCCTCTGTCCCCTTTCTCCCAAAAGTGACCATTACCTGGATGCTGTCTAACCCAGATGCACTTAATGAGTTGGGAACAGGAGCCGGATTTGGAAACAGAGCCAGGGCTAGGTGTCAGCCCTGGCTAATTCTTCTTGGCTCCTTTACCAAAACCCTGAACTTTACTCAACTTGACATTTACCAATAATGTGTGGTTAAAAGTTTAATGCTGTACAAAATGTGACCGTTGATTTGGTTCATCAAATATCTACACAAAATTTTCTCTATTAAGTTAGCAACTTGCCAGTGTTTTTCAATGCCACCAGTTTTCCACCAACTATAGTGATCCACAGGGACATTACAACAGTTAAGCAGGAGAACTGCTATAAAACCTCACTGCTAGAGAGTGATTCTCACCAGGGGCACATGAACTCCTCACTTCCACCTAGCCCTGGGGTCAGTAGTCTGCAGAGTTTTTGGTTGTCACAGCTGGACGGCAGTGGGAGTCCTACTGCCATCAAGGGGGCAGAGGCCAGGGCAGCTGCTGGCCATCCTACAATGCACAGGGCAGATTCCACAGTAAAGGATTATTCATCCTTGATGCCAATACTAATGAAGTTGAGAAACCTGTGCTGGAGAAATATCTAAAAGCACTTGCTCTTGTGACATATCATTAGGAGTTTGAGTGAGTCTCACACTCAGTGAACAGCGAGTGGAGCCCCTGGCATGGCAAGATGCCAGCAGGAGTGTGGGCATCTTTGTCCTCCAGGAGGCTGGATTCAGCCTCACATCCATGCCTTTGCCCAGCCTGGCTCCCCTCCTCGTGGAAGTAAGGACAGTCTTGCTTCCTCCTGCCTGTCATCCTCATCTTCCTGGTCCTTCATGGTCCACCTCAGCCATTACTGCTTCTGCAAAGCCTTTCTTTGTTTTTCTTTGGATTTCTAGAGGCCTTTAATTTGTATAATAAGATCTCAACTTGGTGGTGCACATGGTATCTTTCTTAAGTTCTACATTTTGTCTTCTCATGCAACTTGATAATTACTTAATTAACTTAATTCCTTAAGGAAATCCATTAAATAACTTAATTCCTTAAGGAAATCCATTAATGCTTTCAACAAAATATGTCCAGCTCCTCCATGGTCTGCTGTGGTGGATTCTGAATGAACCTGAGATCATTTGCAGCCTCTTAACTTCTTTCTGCCACATTTTCTCCCCTCTGAACACTTTTTTTTGCCTGTTTTCTTCTATCTTCTCTTTGCTTTTGATTTCTGTCTTCCAACAGCTTCTAATTTTTCACAATTTTAATTTTTACAAGCTGATATAGATGCATTGTTTGAAAAATAAACTAGCACAGAAAACCGTCCAATGAAAAGCCCTTCTTCCTCACCCCTTCCCCTCCAGGCCCTGCAGCCCTGTCCTCACCTTCAACTTCTTTCTCTGCTTCTTCTAGCATTTACATGTTCTAAAGAATTTTTTGTTTTGGTTTGGTTTTTGTTTTTTGAGAGAGGGTCTCACTCTGTTACCCAGGCTGGAGTGCCGCGGCGTCAGTCTAGCTCACAGCAACCTTGAACGCCTGGGCTTACGAAATCCTCCTGCCTCAGCCTCCCAAGTAGCTGGGACTCCAGGGCCGCCACCACACCTGGCTAATTTTTTCTATTTTTAGTAGAAACAGGGGTCCCACTCTTGCTCCGGCTGGTCTCGAACTCCTGAGATCAAGCAATCTTCCCACCTCGGTCTCCCAGCATGTTAGGATTACAGGCGTGAGCCACTGCCCCTGGCTGAGGAGAGATAGCTTGTGTCTCGAGTTCTGGCTTTCTTTGCAGCAAGCGATGGCAGAGTAAATGACAACTGGGTGGAGCGTTTTAGCCAAGAAGTTAGGATTACAGAAGCCCACTGTTTCTATGGCTTCCCAATTGCCCCGTAAAACGTACATTCTGAGATGTGTAGTTCCTTACGGACACATTAAAGATCCCAAAGACAGGGAATTGCTCTTGAATGCCATTGAAACGATGGCTCATGTGAAGGAGACAGACTGGGCCGTGCGTTGGGCTGGGGAGGAACAGGCCACCCCGCAACGTGCTGCAGCCTTTGCCGCAGTGGAAGGCATCTTCTTTCCCGGTTCAGCTGCATCGATGTTCTGGCTCAAGAAAGGGGGACTGATGCCCGGCCTCACACTTTCCAATGAGCTTAGTAGCAGAGATGAGGGTTTACGCTGTGACTTGCCTGCCTGGTGGTCAAACACCTGGTACACAAACCATCCGAGAAGAGAGTAAGAGAAATGATTATCAATGCTGATAGGATAGAACAGGAGTTCCTCACTGCGGCCTGGCTGGTGAAGCTCAGTGGGAGGAGATTGCACGTCAGTGGGGCGGTTTGTGTTGAGTTTGTGGCGCACATTTTCGCTGGAACTGGGTTTCAGCAAGGTTTGCAGAGCAGAAAATCCATTGGAATTTTTTCACTGGAAGGAAACACTAACTTCTTTGAGAAAAGAGTAGGTGAATATCAGAAAATGGGAGTGATATCAGTCCAACAAAGAATTCTTCTACCTTGAATGATGACTTCTAAAAGAACTGAAGACATACTCTTGATTTTATTGGTTTTTACCCCCGTTCTCATAAAAACAAAAAACAAAAAAATCATCTATAGTGTATTAACCAGCTACACCATGAATTAGCCATAATGTTCATTAACAGCGTCTTTAAAACTATGTAGCTACCCCCAAATCAGCCCTGTTTATTAATAATGCTAGTGGTGTCACCTAGAAGGAAAGGATATTTAAGATCTTGTCTGTGTTTGGCTTTTGTAAGCAGGCCAGCTGCCTGTGGCTTCACCATGGCAGTAACAGCAAGAATCGTGGCCTTATCGTGAGGGGTCCGCTAGTGACCTGTCCCATTAGGATTAAACATTCACTTATTGCCACATGCAGTTGGAAGATGTAGCCTCACTGCTTCAAAGCAGATTTTAAAGTTTACTTGTTTGTATATAAAACTCGCGCTTTACAAACATAACATTGTACTGTCAAGGGAATAGCCTGATTTATTTGGTTTCTACACCAAATACAAAATATCACTAACAGGAGCCAATTCAAAATTTACCAGGTTACTAAAGTAAGTTAAACCAGTGTAGACTAAGCATGTCATTTTTAAGCTTTATTTTCTTTAATGAATTGAAATACTCTTTTAATCAACTTTAAAATCAACCCTGTACATACCTAGATATTAGTCTCTTGGTGCCGCATACAACACAGGTTGTCTTTTTCATCGTGTAGCCTGAGTAGAGTTTTGTGGGATAAGAGATAAAGGGTCATCTTCTAGGACAAGGATCTTCTAAACCTAAATGGTTGGGAATTGAGACACAGTCTGGGCTGACTGCTAGTGACCTGGGTCTTAATATGTGTTAGGGGCAGTGTCATTTTATTTCTCAAATTGTATTTTCCCCAACTTCTAGTTGATATGAAGAGATCCTTGGAGAGTGTTTAGTTGGGGTCTAAGGTAAATGTACATTTTCAATTCATCCTTGAATAGAATGGCTTGCTTAAGATCTTGCTCCTGTTAAGTGGTAAAATCCAGGGTTGAAATCAGCTCCCCTAAGTGCTGTTTGTTCTGATTTTGTTTAATTTGTGTGTTAAGTAGGTAATGTTGAGAGTTAATTCATTTATATTTACTATATGTCTTTTAAATTAGAAAATATTTTTCTTGCATATGTCCTTTTAGATTTTACCTGTAGTTCACAGTTAGAGAAAAAAGACCCAGGAATGTCCTTAAGTTTGTAATTGACTAAACATTGCTCAGTGTGATTCCAACATTTGTCTAAACCTGAGCATCATCTGGTAGATTCTTAAACTTCAATAGAAAACTTGTGTTGTATGAATTGTTAATAACGTATTCAAATTAATTTCAGAAGAAAATATAAGCTAATAGATATACTTATAGGGCTAGTTTGAATTACTCTGCCTTTATGTTTGGGGGAAATGATATATAAACAACTATAGCCGAGCACAGAGTACCCAGGGGAGAGGGAGATGAGGCTGGCGGGCAGGAACAGGGTCCTGGAAGCCCGCCTGTGCCCTGCCAGGGTGTGGACGCTCCTCCAGCAGTGGCTCCAATGTGGGTTTCCACCAAGCATAGCACGTAGACCGAACTGGTAGTGAATGTGATGCATTTAGGTACTATTTTCAAGTGTGTGGGGAGCTGTCCTGAAGACAGGAATCTCGGGGCGTGGGTGCTGCCCAGAAAACTGGGGTCCTCAGTGACTCAGCACTTGCCCCCAGTGTAGCTCTCCCATCTTGGATTCAACCGGTGTTCTTTGCTTTAGGCTTGGGTAAGCAACACAGTTAATCAGTAGATAAAATTAGCCTCACTTGTTCCAGAGACTTTGCCCTGGAGCTAACAATAGAAGAAAGTAGATGATGGACATTGATTACTTGTAAGCGTGACTAAATAAAGGTCCTGTGATGTTGGCTCATGGCCCCTGAATGGGAACTGTGAGTTAAGTGGAATGTGGTCTTTAGAAAACTGGGATGTGCACTCAAGTAGGTAGGCAGTTACCCAATGGTATCGGTTCTCCTTTTCTCTTGTATAAATACAGCCCCCAAAATAAACGCGGCACGGCAGTCCTCACAGACTCCGTCCTCCCGTTCCCATCTGTGTGTGTCTCTCTTTATTTCTCATCCTCACCCCTGAACTCCAGGTTCCGCACGTCGCTGGCAGGTGGTGGCCCGTACGGGGGGTCTCTCTTTCTACGAGGGCCTTTAGTAGTGCTTGGAGAACCGGGACTCGGTGAAGGACGTCCGTTAACAAGGTGAGTGGGGCAGGGAGTGTAATTAACGGGAGTAATAAATATGGGTCAAGGGAACAGCCGTATGCTGTTTGTACAGGTACGAAAAAGTATGCTTCGGGCCCGAAGCGTTAAGAGTAGGAAAGAAGGCCGGGCGCGGTGGCTCACGCCTGTAATCCTAGCTCTTGGGAGGCCGAGGCGGGCGGATTGCTCAAGGTCAGGAGTTCAAAACCAGCCTGAGCAAGAGCGAGACCCCGTCTCTACTATAAATAGAAAGAAATTAATTGGCCAACTGATATATATATAAAAAATTAGCCGGGCATGGTGGCGCATGCCTGTAGTCCCAGCTACCCGGGAGGCTGAGGCAGAAGGATCACTGGAGCCCAGGAGTTTGAGGTTGCTGTGAGCTAGGCTGACGCCATGGCACTCACTCTAGCCTGGACAACAAAGCGAGACTCCGTCTCCAAAAAAAAAAAAAAAAAAAAGAGTAGGAAAGAAACAGTTGGAGAATTTTTTAACTTTTGTAGAAGAAGTGTATCCCTGGTTCCCTGAAGAAGGGACAATTAATTTAGACACTTGGAAAAAGGTAGGGGTGAGACTTCAGGACTATTATACTGCTCATGGTCCAGAGCGAGTGCCTGTGGATACTTTCTCTTTGTGGAATCTTGTTAGAGATTGCTTAGATCCTAGACATGAAGGTCAGCGCCTGACTATGGGCACAAGGGATCCGGACCCTTGTCCCCAGGCAAGCGCTGAGAAAGACGCCAATCAGAACTCGCCTTCCTCCCCTGCAAACCCTTACCAGGAAGCTAGAGACTTATTATTACAGACTCAAAACTTTAATGAACCCCAAGAGGAACTAAATCCTGAAGAAGAGGAAGATCTGGAGGAGGCAGCCGCCCGATATCATAATGAAGATCTGGAGCCTTGGGCTTTTGCCATGACCGCTTCCGCAAAATCTCAAAATACTTATAAGGAGCCAGATCTGGCAAAAGAGGTTAAGGCGGTCAGATAAATGTTACAGCAGGTTTTAATCCAACTGCCTTTAAAGACCTCTCCGCCAGGACCCCCATTGCCTTTACAAGTACCAAAGCTTGATCAACTGTCTCAGAAGTCTTATCCTCCTTCTGTAATTGCCGGACTAGACCCCCGCCCGCTCAGCCCATGGTTGCTGCCTTTCAGGAGCATCCTAACGGCAAGCCTTTGCTCATTCCACCGCCTGCCCTAAAAGAGGCCTCCTGGACCTTTGGCCTCTCCCCGCTTCAAAAGGCCATTAAAAAGGCTGCTGATACCAATGAAAGTCTAGACGGGTTTGAGATGTACCCAGTTTTTGAGCGTGGCGATAATAACCGCCGCTATCACCAGCCTCTTCCAATTAAACAATTAAAAGAGTTAAAAGCTGCCTGTGCACAGTATGGTCCCACTGCGCCTTTTACGGAGGCCTTATTGGAATCTTTGGCCACTATGGCAGTGCCTCCAAATGATTGCAAGAATATAACTAAGGCCTGTCTGAGTGGGGGAGATTATTTGTTATGGAAATCTGAATTTGCTGATCAGTGCCAAGCGACGGCAGATATTAATAGAGCGCAGAATATCCATGTTACTTTTGACATGCTTGCAGGCGAGGGTGACTACCGAGCTTTAGAACAACAGCTCCACTTTACCCTCGCTGCTTATGTGCAAACTAATGCTGCCGCCCAGCAAGCCTGGCGTAAATTGCCTAGCTCGCAGAAAACAGAAGATCTTACAAAAATCAGGCAGGGCCCCAATAAACCTTACCAAAATTTCCTGTCTCGGCTCTTAGAATCCACTGGGAGACTGATCAACGACAATGAAGCTAAAACGCTCTTGGTTAAACAGTTGGCCTATGAGAACGCCAATTCGGGGCATGCCAGGCCGTTCTTAGACCTTTTAAAAAGAAGGGGACACTTGCTGACTATGTCAGACTGTGTTCCGCCATTGGGCCATCCTATATGCAGGGAGTCACTTTGGCCGCAGCTTTGCAAGGAAAAACAGTAAAGGAGATTCTGTTTCAACAGCAAGGGAAAAAGGGCGGCGGAGGCAAAGCAAGGGTTTCTTGCCCACCTGGCAGTTGTTACAATTGTGGACAGCTAGGACATTGTGCTGCCCGATGCCCAAAAGCTCAGGCCACAGAGAAACCAAAACGACTCCCTGGGCTGTGCCCGGTATGTAAGAAGGGAAACCATTGGGCTAAAGATTGTAAGTCTACCACAGACGTGTATGGGAATAGATGGCCTCCTCGGCAGGGAAACCGGAAGAGGGGCCAGCCCCAGGCCCCGCAACTATGTTATAAGACAGTGCAAAAACCGACCCCACAAAGCGGGGTCCCAAAACAACAGAAAAAATCCGTTTGTGACTTGTTCAAAGCAACCCCAGGCAGCACAAGATTAGACCTCAGTGCCGCGGCCTGCACAGTGCTAACCCCCGAAATGGGAATGCAAGCTCTTCCCACCAGAGTTTATGGCCCCTTGCCTCAAGGCACTGTGGGTCTTCTCTTAAAAAAAAAAATAGTACTACCATAAAAGGCTTGCTTATGGCTCCAGGAGTTATAAATCAAGACTTTAATAAAAAAATAAAAATTATGACCTATTCTCCTCATACAATTACAGTTGTAAATCCAGGCCAACGTATTGCTCAACTTGTACTGTTACCTGTGGCACTGCTAGCAAAGTCTCAGTCACAGCATGCCCGAGGGACATCAGCCTTCGGGTCCTCGGATGCCTATTGGGTGCAGTCAATTACTAAGAATAAACCTGAAATGTTCCTCTGAATAAATAAAAAGGCCTTTAGAGAAATATCAGACACAGGGGCAGACGTTTCGGTTATATCTAAACATCACTGGCCTTCTCAATGGCCCAAGCAGGGGGCTATCAGTTCCTTCCAAGGTATTGGTCAGGCCCATAATCCTGAACAAAGTTGCAATTTGCTAACATAGAAAGATGAATAGGGGCATTCAGGACAATTCCGTCCTTATATTTTGCCTGGTTTGCCTGTAAATCTCTGGGGAAGGGATGTCATGCAAGCCATGGGAGTATACCTGTATAGCCCAAATTCGTAGTTACCCAACAGCTATTTAACCAGGGGCTGCTCCCTACTCAAGGCCTTGGAATTTGGGGCCAAGGCATTACACAACCTATTCAGGCTACACCGCGACCGCCTCGGGTCGGTTTGGGTTGTTTTTAGGAGGGGCCTTTGATTCTCCCGTAACCCACGCTGATCCTATTACTTGGACATCTGACACACCTGTGTGGGTTGATCAATGGCCCCTTAATCCGGAAAAGATAGCCACTGCGGAGCAGCTGATGCAGGAGCAGCTGGGTAGCGGCCATATAGCCCCTTCAAATTCCCCCTGGAATTCCCCAATCTTTGTTATCAAAAAGAAATCAGGTAAATGGAGGTTGCTTCAAGACCTTAGGCAGGTCAATGCAACTATGGAACTCATGGGAGCCCTGCAGCCTGGCCTCCCAGCTCCTATGGCTATTCCGGCTCATACTTTTAGAATTATTATAGATCTGAAAGATTGCTTTTACACCATCCCTCTTGCACCCCAAGATTGCAAACGCTTTGCCTTTAGCATTCCTTCTACTAAATTTAGAGAGCCAATAAAACGTTAACATTGGCTAGTGCTGCCCCAAGGGATGGCTAATAGCCCTACCCTTTGTCCAAAGTTTGCTGCCAATGCTCTATGGGCAACCAGGGCCAAATACACTTCTGTTTATATCATACGTTATTTAAATGATATCCTAATGGCTCATGCTGATGAGGGGTATTTGCTTCAAACTTTTAATCATATAACCATCCAATTAAAAAGATGGGGCCTTCTTATTGCCCAAGAAAAGGTGCAATGACACCCTCCTTCTTCATATTTGGGGTATCAACTGTATAAACCTTTCAGCAATCAAAAAATTCAGCTCCGTAAAGATTGTCTCAAGACTCTTAATGATTTCCAAAAATTACTGAGAGATATCAGTTAGATTCAACCTTACTTAAAAATAACCACAAGAGATCTTAAGCCTCTTTTTGACATTTTAAAAGAAAATTCTAACACTAATTCCCCTCCCTCCCCCCCCCCCCGTCAGCTAACTCCTGATGGGCGGCGAGCCTTAGAGCTTATAGAATGAGAACTGTCTCACCAGCATGTGCCCTATGTTAACTATGATCAGAATTGGGCCAGTTATGTCCTGCCCACTTCTCATACCCCCACCGCGGTCCTTTATCAAAAGGGTCCGTTACTATGGCTGCATTTGCCATCCACTCCATCTAAAGTTCTAACACCCTATTATAAAATGGTTGCTGCATTAATTCATATGCTGCGGTCAGAGTCCTGTAAACTATTAGGCCAAGAGCCACACCTTATCTGTGTCCCTTTCTCCTGTCAGCAACAAGACTGGTTGTTCCAGCATAGTGACTCTTGGGCCATAGCACTAGCTAATTACACTGGTAAACTTGATAATCATTATCCCCCTGATAAACTGCTGCAATTTGCCAGCCTGCATCAATTTATTTTTCCCACCAAAGTGTCTTCCAAACCTCTCGATAACGCTATTTTAGTTTTTACTGATGGGTCTTCTAATGGTGTGGCGGCTTACACAGTAAATAACCAAACCAAAGCCTGGTACACTGGCTCTTCCTGGGCACCGGAGGTTGAGTTGCAGGCCGTCTTCTCTGCACTAAAACTATTCCTGATAAGCCCGTCAATTTGTATTTGGACAGTCACAATATAATTAGAGCTCTCCAAGTGATAGAAACTGTGCCCTTTATTGGCACTTCTAATAGTAATGTTCAAAAGTTATTTCGAGCATTGCAGGCTCTTATTCAATCTCGTTCAGAGAAATGTTTTTTCAGCCACCTTTGTGCCCATTCACATTTGCCTGGTCCTCTAAGCCTTAGAAATAAAATTATAGACCTTGCTACCAAGGCAAAACCCCCGTTAGTCCTATTTACTCAAAAACAATTGGTGCAGCAATCTCACGCCTTGCATCATCAAAACAGTCATACACTTAGACTGCAGTTTAAAATAACCAGAAAAGCTGCTCGCCAGGTTGTTAAAACGTGTCCCTCCTGTTCACAGCTGCTCCCCGTCCCCCATTATGGTGTTAACCCCCGTGGTCTTCTGCCTAACCACTTGTGGCAAGTGGATGTTACCCACGTCTCTTCTTTTGGTCGTGTAAAATATGTTCATGTGACTATATATACTTATTCTGGGTTTTTAATGGCTGCCCTGCAATCTGGTGAAGCTGGTAAACATTGCGGGCTCATTGCCTCCGGTGTTTTGCTTCTATGGGTCAGCCTAAGTGTATAAAAACTAACAATGGCCCTGCATATACTGGTCATAAATTTCAAAACTTTTTGTTAAGATTAGGAATCGGGCATGAGACTGGTATTCCTTATAATCCACAAGGGCAAGGCATCGTCGAACGTGCCCATCAAACGCTAAAATGTCAAATTGAAAAGATAAAGAAGGGGGACCTGTATCCCCCCCAGAATTATCTAAACCATCTCTTTTTATTTTAAATTTTCTTATTTTGGACTCACAAGGCCGCTCAGCGGCTCAGAGATTCTGGTGTCCAGATGCAGGACAAACTACTCCCTTGGTGCAATGGAAGGATCCCGTAACAGGACGATGGTCGGGACCTGACCCAGTGCTAATTTGGGGGCGAGGACATGTTTCTGTTTTTCTGCAGGATGCTGGATGCAGGAGCCATCACTGGAAAATCGAATGAAGAGGATGAGACTCCAGTGTGTGACACCTCCGAGGCACAAAACCCTGCCCTCAACAGAACAAGCCCCCCTACCCGCGTGGGGCCAGATCAAGAAATTGGCTGAAAAAGCTCAGACACTGGTCAGTGAGACTGGACAACTGCTCACCTGCCACCACCGCCCGGGGTGCTTCCATGTGAAAAGGAGCCCGTTGCTCCCGTTTTGCATGTACCCTGGAGACGGTGTCGTGACCAAACTGCGGCACAAATCTCTATTCCTGGCATCAATCAGAACCTGTATGTCTCTCTGGATTTACTGCAACTCCATCAGGAGATTACAGGCATGTTAGATATGCCTTCCCTTGATACTAGTATAGCTACGGAGGCTAGGGATTTTGTTAATCAACTCCTGGGCCATGTCCCCTCTCTTACTGATTTTAAAAGTTTGTTCTTTATGGTTGTTGGAGTCTTTGCTCTCCTTCTACTTATTTTGTGTGTTACCCCTGTTTTGCTTCGGCCAATAACAAAAAAAAAATATTTTAGCCATGAAGGCTGCTCTGTATTCGACCAACCTACAGATGAAAGCCTATCAGCGGGCCCCTGTTTAAGGAATAAAAAATGGGGAGGTGTGGGGAGCTGTCCTGAAGACAGGAATCTCGGGGCGTGGGTGCTGCCCAGAAAACTGGGGTCCTCAGTGACTCAGCACTTGCCCGCAGGTGGAGCTCTCCCATCTTGGATTCAACCGGTGTTCTTTGCTTTAGGCTTGGGTAAGCAACACAGTTAATCAGTAGATAAAATTAGCCTCACTTGTTCCAGAGACTTTGCCCTGGAGCTAACAATAGAAGAAAGTAGATGATGGACATTGATTACTTGTAAGCGTGACTAAATAAAGGTCCTGTGATGTTGGCTCATGGCCCCTGAATGGGAACTGTGAGTTAAGTGGAATGTGGTCTTTAGAAAACTGGGATGTGCACTCAAGTAGGTAGGCAGTTACCCAATGGTATCGGTTCTCCTTTTCTCTTGTATAAATATAGCCCCCAAAATAAACGCGGCACGGCAGTCCTCACAGACTCTGTCCTCCTGTTCCCATTTGTATGTGTGTCTCTTTATTTCTCATCCTCACCCCCGAACTCCAGGTTCCGCACGTCGCCGGCAGGCTCCAGCACAAGTGTACATATTTCCCGATGTGATTAAAAATACAGGTTGATTTTAAAAGCAATGTTTAATTTTTTTTTTGATTGATTTTTTTTTTTTTTTTTTGGAAGACAGTCTCACTCTGTTGCCCGGGCTAGAGTGCCATGGCGTCAGCCTAGCTCACAGCAACCTCAAACTCCTAGGCTCAGGCGATCCTCCTGCCTCAGCCTCCGAAGTAGCTGGGACTACAGGCATGTGCCACTATGCCCAGCTAATTTTTTCTCTATATATTTAGTTGGCCAAATAATTTCTTTCTATTTTTAGTAGTGATGGGATCTCGCTCTTGCTCAGGCTGGTTTCAAACTCCTGACCTTGAGCGCGATCCACCCGCCTCGGCCTCCCAGAGTGCTAGGATTATAGGCATGAGCCACTACGCCTGGCCAGCAATGTTTAATAAGTGTCATATACTATTTCCCCAATTAAAAAAAATATCTATTATCATATGTAGGTGAGTTTACAAGAAAAAAATCAGTCCTCTTCTGGAACCCTTCAAAACAAGGGAGCCCCCTGGTCATCTCGGGTTATTGAAGGGGATCAGGCTCACATTCACGGTCTAGGGGGCTCACTTTGGTGTGAATGAGGAAGATGGATTGCAGGAAGGGTTCACAGAGGAGGGGACACAGTTTAGGAGACTTTGGTCTGAGCCGGGAAGGATGCAGACTGGACTGTGATGATGGCAGTTGACTGGAAGGAGGGACTCGCAGGCGGGACGCTCTGATGGTGGACGGAGTGGAACTTAGTGCACTATTCGAGGTCAGGCGGGGCAGGAGCTGGAGTTGGCCGATTAAGGCCCCGTCCCCAAAAGTATCCATGTGCCATCCCTGGAATCTGTGGATGTTACATTTCATGATAGAAGAGTACTGCGCACATGTGATTAAGACAAGGATTTCGAGATGGGGTGATGATTCTGAATAGTCTGGGGGTCCCTAAGCCCAACCCAGGTATTTCCTAAGTGAAAGGCAGAGGGGATTGGACATGGAAAGAAAGGAGAAGGCCATGTATCCTGGAGGCAGAGGTGAGGGGGACGTGGCCCCAAGACAGGGACGTCCATCAGCCCCGGGAGCTGTGGGCAACCATTACTGAGCTCTCCCTATGGCCTCCATAAGGAGCACAGCCCTGCGGGTGCCTTGATTTCCCCACAGTGATACCAATTTGGGGCTTCTGACCTCCAGAATTGGGGGAGAATAAGTTGTTTATGCCAAGAAGTTTGTGGTTGTTATGGCAGCCACAGCTGTAAGCCAGGAACCTACCATGTCACCTGAGTCAGGTGACCTGCTGGGCGGTGGGTCCACTGGCAGGAGGGGCTCCTGGAAGGAAGAGGCAGAGGGGGGCGGACAGCATGTCCGGTTACATCATGCTTCTGAGATGACCATGGGGTGCGTGCATGGAGTGGCCAGTTGGCAGCTGGACGCTGGTTCCTGGGGCTCGGGCGGAGGGGGAGGGGAGCAGGAGGCTGAGGGCCGGGGCGTGTGCAGGCACTGAGGGGCTCCCTGCATCATTTGAGTGACAAATGGTCACTCAAGGCGGAAACCTGCACATGCACCTAAAACAATTGATAAATGGCAAATAATTTCTACTGGGCATGGCACAGCAGTCAAACCACAGTGGAGAGATGCCACCAAGCAGGCTGAGGGTGGCTCTGAGGGGACGTCACACTTGTGCTGCTGCTGGACACGAACCCGTGCCTGGCTGGGGCTCCCTCAGAGCACGGCCGGCAGCAACGCGGGGCTCCTGTTCGCCCTCCACGGCCCTGTTTGCTCTTCCTCTCGAGAGTGGGACCCTGTCAGTAATGCGCAGTGGCTTCGGACCAAGAGGACATTGGCTCTCTGGAACTGATTACTACCCAGGGCAAAAACCCACTTCATTATGAAAACTACTCTCGACCCAAGGCCCCAGACCGACGATCATGACAAGACCAGGGCAGAAGTGCAGGACAAGAATTTATTAGAGCAAGACGTTGAAACCACACATTCTGCAGGGAAGGTCATTGAAAGATGGTGGAAACCAGGATAAAATAGGTTTTATACCTTATCGGGAACATCCCATCATTATTTTCCCCTGAAAGGAAAGAAGAAAGGAAGCTGAGGTTAGTTATGCCGCTCCCGGAGACGACACGAGAACACACCAGGTCACCATGGAATTCTTCCACCAAGGGAATTGGAGAGGCAGAGGCAGGACCCCAGTGTGTGGGGCCACCAGGGCCTGGACCTGGTACCATCACCAGGTCCATTCAGGGAGGGGACAGCCTTTCCCCGTCAGGCCAATGAGCCCTGAGGTCACCCAAGCTCATGGCTCAGGCTCCTAACGGAGGGGAGGGCAGAGAAATGGATGGAGGGGCCCCAGGGTGCTTTTCCCTGAGTCCAGGACTGAGGTCTCTCCCTTTCTTGCAGTGGGGTCACAGGCTGAGAGGCTGGGTGGGGCTGGGAGGGACCCAGGGACTCTGCTTCCAGCACTCATGGCCTGTGTGCCCCTTGGCACGGGGCCTGCAGCTCCCATGGGTGTTTGCAGTGGAGCCTCACGACCTAACCCCAGGGGGAGATAGGCCCAGAGGCCTCTGGAAACACCTGATTTCTTGAGAAAGGCATAATGGAAGCGCTCCGGCTTCCCATAGCCCTGCGGGACACAAAGCAGTGAGGTCTCTGCCCAGCTGTTGTGATCTGGAGTGTGATGTGGGTATGGTTGGGACAGTGGGCTGTCAGGGCTGGGTGTGGGCTCCTGGCTCTGCAGAGGCCACCAGAGAAGCCCAGCCTGCCAGCTCTGTGTCTGCCCGAGGGCTGGCTCTAGGTCCCCCCACCCCTTTATCTCCCTGTTCAGTGCTCCCAACACTGCCCACGAGGCCCCACAGTGACTGTGCCCCAGGGTGTGAGTGGACCTTGGCCTCAGGAGAGCTCCCTTGGCCCCCCACTGTCACTGCCTGCCTGGGCCCCGACTCTTCTCCTTCTTGGCACCCTGCGGGAACACGGCAGGCAGGCAGGTGACCTGAGGAGGAAGAGCATGCCCAGGACTCTGTGTGCAGCTGAGCTGAATTCAGCAGGTGTAATGGTGGCGCCCACCCTGTGGCCCTGGGTCACCCTATGAAGAGGTGACCAACAGGGCCGGTGCCCCACGATCTGTGTTCCCATAGGGCAGCAAGCTGAGCTCATTTTCTGTGGTGCGGCTGACCAGAAGACTCTAACTATGCATAAAGAAGAAAGAAATTACCAATATTTTTTCAATTTCCATTCTGTTCCCAAAGGACATCTGATCTGTGCATTTCTTCACTTCCAGCTTTGCTGCAACATCTTTCTTAGGTGCCTCAAATTTGGCAAGTTCTAACTTCAATATTTTCTTTTCAGCGAACAAGAAGCCCACCATTCCAGAAGCAAGGGCTGGACAGAGCACTGCATTGGCTGAAGCACAAGAATAAAAATACAATCTTTAAAAAGAAAATCAATTTTATTCCCATTGCTCCCTTATGTTGGACCCAGCAGGATCCCCACGGTTTCCTGTTTCCATCCCATAATAGTGCCACTGAGAATGTAAGACCCTGGAGACTGTGACCTCCTCAAGATCTCCGGCAAGGGGCAGAGCTGGGACTGGAAAACTGGTTTCCTAATCGCTCGTTCAGGTTTTGTTTACTTAAGGCATTACTTCCCAGAGCGTCTCTGGTTGCTGAAATTCCCTTTTCCAGTTGTGAGAATATTAAATGTTCTCTGCCAACTGAGTGATGCCTTGATGGTCTTGGCTATTGGTGAAGAGCAGGTTGGGGGTAATCAGATTTTGAAGTGAGTCATTGAGTTAGAACCCTGCCAGAGATCAGAGAAGTAAGGATAACTCCAGAAAAGAAGTGAAATTACTAAAATGTTGCAGGTGACATTTTGAGAGTAAGTCGGAGGATTTGGATTATGTCATTGGATGCAGACAGAGCTAAGAGGAAAATGAAATAAAAGAAAGCGAATCAGTTTTCAGCCCATCAGCAGCAGCTTATACAGGAAATTGCGACTGGCCCTTTTACCCTGCAGGGACATCCAGAGTCCCTAGAAAGAGTGAGAGGAGGAAACTGGGGCTCATTCCTGGCCTGCCTGGGAATTGTGGGGGTACCTAAGGCACTCACTTCGCACTCACTTCTGGACTCTCGATTCCCCAAGTCTTTTGCAAACACCCTGCACCCAGCAAGGGCCCACCAGGCTCTGATATCAGCCCCCACAGGACAACATCCAACTGCAGGGAGACTTTGGAGAGGGCAGGACCAGAAGCCACAGAGACAAAGAGGAGGAGATTCAGAAAGTAGGAGGAAAGAGAAAACTCAGAGGACTGGACCAGTCCTGAGAGAGGACATGAGGACGTGCAAAAGAATTGCAGAAAGAATGGCTAGAATTGAATTCTAGAAAAGCAGAAATAATAATGCTAAGGATTGTACTAGTTCTATGACCAATACGGGTAGGACCCTAGAAAACTAGTCGTGCCCCGAGATGTGCTTTGAGAGCTGCTTATTCTGAGTCCATTTGCAGGTTCACTTTCAGAGAGGCCGAGGGCACCAGCGCGTCTTGCACTGGGAGCCTCCAGGGTCCTTCCAGCTGCAACGCTTTAGGAGATTGAGTTTATGACTTAGGAAGCGTGGGCTCAATTGGCACCTAAGGGCTCTGGGAGGAGAATGATAACCAGAGATACCAGCTTGCGACTACAGCGGGACTCTGACCACGCTTAATCTCACTGCACTGCCATAGGCACTCCTGGCAGAAGGTCCGAGCACCAGTGCTAGGAGGAGGCTTGCAGAGGGCGAACGTCTTGCCCAAGGCCAAAGGGCTGGAAGTGGCAGAGCCCAGATTCCCCCAAAGCTGCCGACACATCCTGCTGCATCTGGATACAGACCACAGTCAGACGTGAAGCTCAGGCAGAATCCTGACATTTGCCTGGGATGGTTTTCTGTAAAACTTCTGTGGTATTGGGTTGATGAGATGAGCCCTGGGCTGTTTTAGGGGTAGTTCAACAAGCACAGGAAAAGTTTTGAATTCTGGTTTGGTCCAGATCCCAACCGCACCCCTACTAGGTCTACCTGGTGCTCTTAGAAGGGTACCGGCCAGGGGCTGGGGCTAGACTGATGACAACTGATACTCACCCTCGTAGCAAGCAAGGGCCAGAATGACCAGCAGAAGGCACACTGACAGCCTCATGGTGGCTGGTTTTGCGTTGAGCTTTCAGCTGTGGCAAATGATGGAGAATTTTGACTCAGCTGCAGGAGGCTGTGGAGCCTGCGAGCCCAGGGCTATTTATTTGTACCTAGTAAGCCTCGCTGGTCCTGCCCACATAGGCAGATGGCAGGTCACAAGGCCTGGCTTCCAGCCCTTCCTTCCTCAGGGAGGGCTGATTCTGTCATCGGTGCCATGTCCCCACGTGTCCCTGCATCCTGAGTGTGTCGGGTCACAGGAGGGTGGCCTGGACAGATCTCTACCGGGTTTTCCAGGTGAGCGTTCAGGCGCCTCTGGGAATGTTCCTGGATCCTCCTCAGTTTGCTTTTGGGATTTTGGTGACAATATGTTTGTTCTTCTGTCAGTGCAGAGGCACAGGTGGGTTCCTACTTTAGGAGGACAGACCCCGGGGACACAGGAACCTGGGGGACTGGGCTTTGGTTGTCAGAGAGCAGGCACATACGAGGACCCCACTCTGCGCCCCCATGTTTGTGTCTGACAGTGGACCGGGTGAGTCTCAGTTGCACGCCGATCAAGTCTGAACAAGACACATCCTGTCCCTCAGCGCCTCCCATCACCACCACCTTCAGCACAGAGGTGCCTTAAAGCATTGTTGAACACACCCCACTTTGGAGAATTTGCTTGGGGACAGCAGTGCTCTGCCTGTTCCCTAGCCTGCCTCACTCCTCAGCCATGGGCTTTGTTCATGGGTGGAGTTGTCAGCATAGCTGAGCTTCAGATTTTCTGTGCATTAGTGTCCTAGGACAACTAGCCACCCCTATCTCATGACAGGGCTGATGTGATGATCAAGTGATCCAGATTCTTTTTTGCTAAAGAGCTCCTGGAGTGTGAGGTTCCAGGTAAGCATCAGAGGTGGGGAGAGTAGTTCTGCTCCAGGGTCCCAGGCAGGAAAGATGAGACAGATGAGCAGGGTGGGTGGCCCTTTCCCCTTCCCCCTTGGGCTCAAGTCTTCCACTTCCAACCTAGCTTTGCTGTCTGGGCCAATCCCAATTTCCATGGAAAGTGAAGGCAGCCCCCAGCCAAAGTCATGCACACCCCGCCTGCCAGTCCAGTCCTGTGCCGTTATACTCTGTGTGATTAGGAAACCACCAGAAATTGCCCAGTCATGGTGACTAACGCCTGTAATGCCGGCACTTTGGGAGGCCAAGGCAGGAGGATCACTTGAGGCCAGGAGTTGAAGAACAGTCTGAGTAACATATTGAGAACACAGCTCTATAAATATAAAGAATAAAGAAATTAGCTGGGTGTGGTGGTACATTACTGTAGTCCCAAGTTACTAGAGAGGCTGGGGCAGGATGATTGCTTGAGCCCAAGAATTGGAGGTTGTTGAGGTTGCTGTGAGCTAGGATAATGCCACTGCACTCCAACTGGGTCAACAGAGAGAGACTTTGTCTCCAAACAAACAAAAAAAGGAAATACCAGAAATGTGTCACTTAAAAGTATATTTGAGAGGAGTCACTGGGAAGCCAGAGGTTTTCCGTCTCAGTTCTACAATCAAATCACCTGGGAGCTTGTAGAAAACACAGAGCCCCCAATGTCCCCAGTGCTCCCCAGGCTCTGGGGGTCTGACTGAGTGGGTCTGGGGGGAGGCCCAGACTCCCGCACTGCTAAAACTCCGCTGGCGATCCCGACAGCAGGAGCGCCGAGAACCACCCAGAAAGACCTTACTGGCTGTGTTGTCAGACACGCGTTGGCAGGTTTGGCTGAACCCCAGTGGAGGGCAACAGTGGCTGTCACTTACACCTCACAGGATGGGCAGGGGGCATCCCAGAAGCCAGATCGGCCTCCACCACCAAGGAGCCCGAGGTGCATGGGGAGGCCATGGCCCCTGGAGTTCAGATCTGTGTTCATGGTCTATTGGACCTTAGGAAGATCACTCAGCTCATGTAAACCCAATTTTCTGATTCGTCGAAACAGGCTAATAATAGTCTGTCTCCATTGTTGCGTTCATAGATGATCAAATGAGTGTGTTGTGTGCATGGCGGGGGGTGGGGGGTGGGTGGCGTGGAAAGTTCTGATGAAAGACCTTGCGAGGTGAGGACGAGTAAACAAAGCCCATTCAAAAGCCACTTTAGGATCTATAGAATTTTGTCATGCAGAAAACTTGAGGGGAGGGAGGCTGAGAGAGCAGCAGCAGGGAGGGCGAGAGGGCGTGAAGCAGGATCGGCACTGCTAGTAACGGTAGTCACTCCCTCGCAGATCATCAACCAGCCCGCGGTGGAATAGGGAAGGCTTTGTGACTCAGAACAGGATGGGCCACATCAAGGGGACTTCCCTTTTACTCTGCGGGCCATGATGGCAGAATGGGTAGGACAGGTGTGACCCACCCAGGCGTTTTTTGTCCCAGTGCTTTCTTGCTGGGTTTCAGACCCCAAGTCAAACCCATTTCACACCCATTAGTACGACTGTTATCAAAAACACAAAATAGCAAGTTTGACTACAGTATGGAGAAATAGGAAACCTTATACCTTGTTGGTGGGAATGTGCAATGGGGCAGCTACTAAGGAAAGAGTACGGAGGTCCCTCAAAAATGAAAAATGGAATCACCGTATGACCAAGCAATCCCACTTCTGGGTGTATGTCCAAAAGGACCGAAAACGGTCTAGACGAGATATTTGCAAATCTGTGTTTATAGAAGCACTATTCACAATCGCCAGGAGGTGGACACAACCTAAATGTGCAGATGGATGGACAAACAAAATGTGGTATATACATACAATGGAATATTATTCAGCCTGAAAAAGGAAAGAAATCCCGTCACATGCCACAACATGAGTGAATCCTGAGAACATCTTTCTTACTTGAAATAAGCCAGTCACAAAAAGATATAGTATGAATCCACTTATATGATGTCACTACAATAGTCAAATTCGTAGAAACAGGTAGTAGAATAGTGGTGTCCGGGGGCAACGGGGAACAGAATAGGATGTCCAGTAAAAATCAAGTCATCAAAGTAAAAGGGAATCTGGAAACATACAGCCATCATCCTCCATGCAGAGCCTATGGGTGGCAACACTTGGGTACCTAGTAACAGTAGTGGTAATAAAAAAAAGTGGCAACAGATTTTGATTACTACTATGGCTAGGCACCGTGGAAAACAAAATTTGTCATATTCAATCCTTGTGCACATATACACGCTAACAGCTTTACATTTCCCACTTTACAGTTCTATGAACTCGCAGAAATTAATAAACCTGCGAGTGGCATAGTTTTGTAACAAGAAGGTGTAGCTGGGGCATCCACAATATGTGAGTTGTGGAGTCACAAAGTGGTACTTTCAGGCCATCTGTCTGGTAGTGGTGACAGGTCAGATTCGCTGGAGGTGGATGCAGATCAAGTTCCGTCTCAGCTGCTCCTTGCCCGTCAATTTCTGACTCAAATGAAGCCTTCTAGTCAATGACACATCACCCTAGTTTTCATTTTGTTTTGTTTCATTTTTTTTTTCTTCCTTTCCTTTTTAAAACAGATCATAGACTGACAGCACTGAATGCTGGTGAGATGCAGAGCAATAGGAACCCATTCATTGCTGGTGGGAACTCAAAATGGTACAGCCTCTTTGGAAGACAGTTTGGTAGTTTCTTACAAAAGTAAACATATTCTCAGCCTGCAATCCAGCAAGCATGTTCCTTCGTATTTACTGAGATGAGTTGAAAACTTATGTCCACAGAAAAACCTGAACACGGATGTTTATAGTGGCATCATTCAAAATTATTCAAACTTGGAGGCAACCAAGATGTCCTTGAGCAGGTGAATGGAAAAATAAAACTGTACGTTCAGACCACAGAACGTATTCAGTGCTAAATCAAAAGAAAAAGAGATGAGCTAACAAGCCACGAGAAGCCATGGAGAAAGAAAGCTCAAATGGGTATTACTAAGGGAAAGAAGTCAACCTGAAACGGTCACATACTGTGTGATGCCAACTATACGACATTCTGGAAAAGGCTGATTTTTAGAGCAGTGGAACTATGCTGTGTGATATTCTGATGGCAGATGCATGTGATTAAACGTTTGTCAAAACCCATAGGATGTACAACACTAGCAGTGGACCCTAAGGTAGACCGTGGACATTGGGTGATGATGTGTCAATGTAAGTTCCTCGATTGTGACAATGTACGGCTTTGATGTAAGATGTTGATAGCATGAGGTGGGGGTTATGTGGGAACTCTCTGTACTTTCTACTCAATATTGTTGTGAGCCCAAAATTTCTCTAAAAAATGAAGTCTATGTTTTAATATGGAGGGAAGGGAGATGTTGATCAAAGGGTACAAAGTTTCAGTTAGACAGGGGGAGTAAGCTTTAGTGATCTATTACACAGAGTGGTAGCTATAATAAATAACAATGCCTTGTATATTTCAAAATTGCCAAAAGAGTAGATTTTAAATGTTTTCGCCACAAAAAAAATCATAAGTACTATATGTGAAGTGATGGATTTGTTAGACTGATTTAATGAGTCAACATTGTAAACATACATCAAAACATCACATTGTATGTCATAAATATATACCAGTATTATTTATCAATTGAAAGCAAAAGTTAAAAATAACAGAGGGAAACCTGATGTTAACAATATTCTCTTCAAACAAAAGAAAAATTTAACATTAAAAAAGCAAATCCATGAATTGGTCATTATATATAGATATACATCTATATATAATATAGATATTTCCCTATCAGAGAAATCTAAAACAAACTAGAACAAACGGATTTGTCATCAATGCACAGCACAAACTATCGTGCGGACTGTGAGTGCCGGCTGTGGGCAAGGTTTTGCAGCCGGTGAGCGCTGTACTGAAGTGGTTAAAGATAAAATCATGAAACTTCACAAACTACTGAAAAAGCTATTAGAATTAATAACAGTGCACCAAGTTAGCTGAACACAAGATCACCAGATGGAAATCAATTGCTTTCCTATAATCAGCCATTGCTATCATGTAACATAATGGGAAAAAATTGTACCATTGATAGTAATAATAGGAGCAATTAAAATATATTGAAATATATGTA